GGATCCGCCAGGGGCGAGGCTTGTCGCTTCCCAACTGAAACTTCATGGAGTGGCCTTCATGATCGTGACATTCACTTTGCCCTTGTCCTTTTTCCGGGCAATAGCGTGATTCATCTTTTTCCTCCAAGCTCTTTTCCTCCTTTCTTTGGGTGTGGTACCCTCCTTAACTTCCTGCTTCACATCACCACAAGGAACAAGATTAATAGTGGGGTTCACCTTGAGAGGCACTCCTCCACTTGCATTCATATCATTCGATTCCACTTCCTTTACATCCTCACTCCTAGGCTTGGGTTCAATTTCAAGAGTAATTTTCTCCTCACCATCTCTAAGAATCAAAGTTCCCTCATTAACATCGATTAAAGCCTTGGCGGTGGCAAGGAAGGGACGTCCTAGTATGAGTGGCATATCTGAATATTCACTTATATAAAGGCTCCACAATATACCAAAGTAAATATAAAACTTTATCTTCAAAATGACACCTTGAACAAGAATTTCTATCGAGCCAACTGAGAGATATTGGCTTCCAAAGTAGGTAACCTGAACTCGACGAAACACTTAACCAAATTCTTACCTTCTTCTTCCCATCTTCCATGGCTTATTTGTCAAATAATTGTGGGTTAAACATTGACCCATTTGGGATCATATCATAACAATGTGGGATAAACCAGCGGTGGTGGCTTTGTTTTAATCTTTTTTTCTTTTGTATCCTCTTTTTCTTTGGAATAAATGTATACTGTATAATGTGAACGACAATTGTAGATGTGTATTATTTGTACTTCAATGCATATGTTATTTTTCTGTCTGGAAATCCATATAAATTACGTATCTTTTGTAGTGATTGCTCGTCATATTTGCAAAGAACACATACAAAATCAACAAATTATGACAAAACTAATGACAAAATATTTCATCTTAAAAGCTCTGTTTGTCACAATAGACGACACATAACATGAGCTATACTGACAAACTAAAGTCCAATTATGACGAATCCCGCCCTTATTGTGACAAAATCATTCGTCACTTGTTTACCTATCATATGACACAAGAATATGTCACAATATCCTACAACAAATGTGACAACGATATTTTAAAAGTTTGTCATATTTGATCTGTCCTGGCGGCGATTAAATGACAACACATTGTGACAACGCTCTTTGTCATAAAATACATAATCTGACAAGACATGGGTCTAATATGACAAAAACCGTTTGTCACAATAAGCCTAATTTGTTGTAGTGGTAATGAAGAGGACGATGAATCATCTTATGCTGATTCATATGGCGTAATTCCAATGCCTATTATTGCTGGTTTTGATGGAGAATTCTACAAGGGGAAGATATTTCACTCAAAACAAGCTGCACAGGTGGCGATTAAATACTATGCACTACAATGCAACTTTCAGTATAATGTGGTGGAGTCGTCACCTTCAATCTGGAAGATCAGATGTTCGAAGCACAAGGATGACAATTGTCCTTGGATGGTGCGGTTTGGATGTCGAGATGTGGGAGGCGATTGGACTGTGAGAAATGCCGAGTTGGTTCATTCTTGTAGCAGTACGACTCAACCGACGGATCATCGCCATCTTGATGTCGCTGTTATATCTGAGTCCATGAAACACTTGGTACGTGTCCAACCAAATCTGAGTGTTCTAACTGTGCAGGCTGAGTTGAAAGATAAGTTTAATATGCAAGTTACTTACAAAAAGGCTTGGTATAGGAAACAAAGAGAATTGGAGAAGTTGCATGGAAATTGGGAATAATCCTACGATTATTTGCAAACATTCTTGCGGGTGGTAAAGAGAAAAAGGCCAACATCGGTGATTGATTGGGTAAGAGTTCCTTTAGATCAACCAGGTCATTTGAAATTTCAGCGAGTATTCTGGGCTTATAGACCTTGTATAGATGGATTCAAGAATTGTCCAGGTGTCATTGTTGTTGATGGAACATTTCTTACTGGGAAGTATAAAGGAGTGCTACTCATGGCGAGCTCATTTGATGGCCGGAAGAAGATTTTTCCAATTGCATTTGCCATAGTGGAGAGCGAGAATACTGATAGTTGGTCATGATTCATAAGTCACATTCAAGGTTTGACCGATCGAAATGATGTTTGCATCATCTCAGATTGACATGCGGGACTCTATGAAGCCATGAATAACATCGGAAGAGGTTGGGAGTGGAGGTGGTGCATGCGACACTATGCAAGAAATTTGCAAAGGAAGACTAAAAGTAGGATTATGTATAAGCAACTATTTCGAGTTAGTAAGCCTTCTTCATTTCATTTTGTTATTTATTTTGATGGCCGGAAGAAGATTTTTCCAATTGCATTTGCCATAGTGGAGAGCGAGAATACTGATAGTTGGTCATGATTCATAAGTCACATTCAAGGTTTGACCGATCGAAATGATGTTTGCATCATCTCAGATTGACATGCGGGACTCTATGAAGCCATGAATAACATCGGAAGAGGTTGGGAGTGGAGGTGGTGCATGCGACACTATGCAAGAAATTTGCAAAGGAAGACTAAAAGTAGGATTATGTATAAGCAACTATTTCGAGTTAGTAAGCCTTCTTCATTTCATTTTGTTATTTATTTTAATGTTTTATTTATTTTAATGTAATTTTGTCATGAATTTTTCTAACCCGTGTGGTTGTTTATTTTGTTAGCCGGAGAAAAACGCTTGGAGAAGTTCAATCGTCAAGTTGAGCAATTTAAGAAGGTGGCCACTGATAGAAATATTTCATGTGATAACTGGGTGGACCAACATCAGATTCGGTGTAGTTTAGCACATGATAACTACAATGGTGGGCGTTGTTGGTCTATCATGACATCCAACATGGCTGAGAGCATCAATGGTGTTTTCAAAGGTATTTGTTCACTTCCTATAGCTTCTCTTGTGCAACATACATATTGGCGATTGTTGGAGAAATTCGATAAGATGAGGTTGGAGACAAAAGCACAAATTAGAAGTGGTCGTTCACAGTACACCATCAAGTGCGAAGAGAAGATGAAGCCATGGTCACAAAAGGCAATTGGACATTCCGTGACGAGGGCTGATCGACGTCAAGGCATCTATGTAGTTCAGACTACTCCCAACAATTTCAACATGACGGGTTCAAACACACTCACAGTGCACTTCGACGACAACAACCGGGCGGGATTTTGCACTTGTGGGAATTTTCAAGGAAAAAAATTCCTAGCTCTAATGCCATTGCAGCTTGCAACCGAATGGGGGCTAATCCGTATAGGTTTGTAAACGACGTCTACAAGATTGAAACAGTGTTGGCTTGTTATGGGATAAGTTTCACACCTCTTGGTGAACCTAAGGGTTGGAAGAAGCATAATGACCCTACTCTCCATCCTAATATGCACATGATTAGATAGCCGGTGAGGCCAAGATCAACAAGAATTCACAATGAGATGGATTGGCCAAGGGAGGGTGCATCACACCAAGTGTGTAGCAACTATAACCAAGCGGGACATAATGCATCAACCTGTGGTGGCCAAGCAAGTGGGAGTGGGAGCAACCGAAGAGGGAGTGGTGGCCAACGAAGTGCGAGAGGTGGTAGAAGAGGAAGTAGAGGAAACAGACGTGGTATGTAGTTTGTTCGAACGGAGATATAATGTAGTAGTTGTTGTTTTTCTTTCGATTTACCTTGCAGAAGTTGTTATTGTTTGAAGTTGTTGTTTTTCTTTCGATTTGCCTTGCAGAAGTTGTTGTTTGGACTTTTATGATATGAACTAGTTGTTGTTGTTTGTTGGTTTTATATTTAAAGTTTTCATTTAGACAATAGCACTAACATGAATTAGTCCACATGAAATTAAAAGTAGTCTCAAAGAAGTACATAATAATAAATATCTCAAAGAAGTACATAAATAGTCCCACTAACGACCACCACGACCACCACCATGCTCTGCCACTAGATGGCCACCAGTACCACACCTTGCTGCCCTTCTATTCCATGGAGGCCTACCATCATCGTGCTGAGGCTGATCTCCCTTCACTATATCATCCTGATCCTGTGTACCGAACATCTCATCCACCTAAGACTGAACCTGCTAATCTGGTGCACCAGATGCTCCCGCTCGAAACTGCTGCTCATAAGCCCACATCGATGTCCTAAAAACCTGATCACCATCTAGACGCTCCCACTCCTCTGGGTCCAAATCTGGTACAGTATCACTACCTGATCTCGTGTGTCCGCCTCCCATCGTAGCATGCTGCGGTGTATGAAAGCTATCTTCTGGTGGCAGAAACTGAGGGCTCGAACTGGTGCCTGCCTGAAATCTGGTATAAACGCCTGGCTGAAACTGTGGTTGAGAATGGGGGTGGAACTGGAAGGTCAAAGTAGGTTTGACTAGCTGCACTGGCTTACGATCTGAGTACCTCACTAGGGGAGGTACGTCACGCTGCTCACGTCACTGTCTCCTCCTCCTGGGCTCCTACGTCAACTGTGGCGGTGGCACGCCCTAGTCCGATGGCCGAACCCTACGCTCTGGCTAGATGGATAAGATGTGTTCATCAACAGGATACCGCTATATGGGTTCTGCAATATCAGGATGTCGACTCTCACTGAATCCTAAAGATGCAATCCCTACTGCCAACTGGTCAGCCAACTCCTCCATCCGTTCAATGGACATCCCTCCATCTCGAATTCCATCACGTAAACCCAACTCAACGGACTCCATGCAGTCGTACTGAAAATTAAATTTAAAATATCAGAAATTCTACCCATCTAAAAACAATTAAAACACAAATATGAATTAATAAAAAACTCACTGTTGCGTTCAGTGCATCTACTCTCCATGTGCCTGAACGTCTAGTAACATCTCGATACCGCTCTCGAGGCTCCGAGTGGTAGGCTAAAGGTACGTCAGTGTAGCTCGTACGCACGATGAACTCATGTCGACGGTTCCACAACTCAATCGACTCGCTGGCTACCTGTATGAACTGCTGGCCACATGACGGCCCATGCTGGCCCTGACGAAAGAAAAACCTAATCTCAGCTGCGGGATGTGGATGATGAGGCGGGTCCTCCATCATTCCAAACTGTTCGAGCACGCGATTTGGATGATGCCACATCGTCGATGAGAAGCAGGCCAACGGAACTACTGCTCGAAACGTGTCGGACTGGATCACAGTATCGCTGTAGTCCTGGGCTCTATCAAACTAAGGACGCCACTGCACACAAAAATTGGTCACATAATTACTCCTAAATCTAAAACAAATCAATGAAACTATTCTATAAAACGAAATGTTATATACTAACCACGAATGTCGTGCACTCGTCAAACCACAGCTTGTACATATAGAACTGATCACCATGCTTACAGGTATGGGCCGGAAGCCATCGAAGGCCACGTGGGACCGCATCCTCGGTGATCTGCGCCCCCGTCTCTATATGTAGCGGTGTTGTATGAAGAAATCGCTCCCACGTCCAGATCATCAGCAAGGTGGACCATCCACCAAAGTCACCACCTAGTGAAGAAGACTGCGTCATCTGCAGCGCCGACCTACCCATTTCACGGTACAGGTAGGATAGAACAGCTGCTCCCTAGGCAAACCTCTCCACGCCAATCCTCCACCAAAAGTAGGTACTGCAGATGAACTGAACCTCCAAACCGATCGGGGAACAAAACACCTCCCATCAAAGACAGAGCATAAGCTCGTGCAAACAGCTCTATACTCTCCGGTGATGCCGAAAGAAGTAGCTGATTGAAAGTCTCCCTGAGCCAAGCAATCCTGATTACGCCGCCGCCAAGATCAGTAGGAGCCTGTCCTAACAGTCGAAGACACATAACCGACCAGTCCTAGTCTGGTATGTCTACTACGACGGCATCACCGTCAATCCTAGACCGGCCAGTGTTGTAACATCCTCTAAAGTGATCGTCACCTCACCGAATGGCATGTGGAAGGTTGATGTCTCGGGTTGCCAACGCTCTACGAGCGCAGTTACCAAACCCGAATCACCGGTAAGAGGGGCCAATGGTAGAACCGTAAACAAGCCCGCATCGACGAGATACAGGCTGGTAAAGTGGATGGTATCTGACTAAATTGCTCGTACCTCAAATGTGGTAAGGTCGATCACCAGCCTATAATGCACAAAACTTCTATTAATTCAATTTCATGCGTACTTCTAAATTCAGTTGATCTAATATTTATATTTATATATCTAATCTAAACTTATTCTAATTCTATTCGTAATTTAATTCTATTATATTCTAATTTCAGTTGAGTTCAGCTAATAAAAAAACTATAGAAATAGTTTGAAAACTTACCTCGTTTGTCCAAACTGCGTCAATACGATGGTGACCATGCCCCCAAAGAAGTACCGGATCCACCGGAGCTGTATCAATTTTCGCAGGTAGTGGTCTCATGAAATAATTGGCCATAAGCCTAGGAACTGAAAAAAAAAACAATTAATCAGAACATAAAAAAAAAAAAATTAAAAACTCGCCGCCGGCGAGAGTCCGGCTACTACCGGCGAAAAATTTGGCCACCGCCTGCGAAAAATCCAGCCACCGTCGGTGAAAAATCAACTCTGTAGCAGTCGCCGCCGTCGCCACGACCTCGCCGCCCTCTGCCCCTTCCTATGTCGGGGCCGACGAGTTGCTTCTCGTTGTCGGACATCTCTCTCTCCAAAAAAAACCATATCTGTTTGAGGGAAGAAAAAAGTGACGGCGGTTCTGGGCAGGGCGCCTTCGTCAGGGATCTGGCGCGGTTGCCTGAGTCTGAGGCGGGGTCGTCTCCTTTCTCGGCACGACCATCGACTGGTGGGCGTGGGTGTTGGAGGGGGTGACTGCGGCTGCTGTGTGTTCTTTCTTCTCAGGCGAGAGTGGTGAGTGGTGGAGAAGAAGATAAGAAGAAAAGAGGGATGCGAGGACGTCTGAGTCTCAAGCAATGGCGCCATTAACTTTTTAGAAAGAATTCAAATTGCGCCAGCGCTTGAGTTTCGGGCGGGCACGCTTCAGTCTCAGTCGATGACGCTTTCAACTAGTTTGAAAAAACACAAAACCCGCCAACGTCTGAGTCTCAGGTGGGCACGCTTTGACCCTAAAACAAACACAATATATGTGTCCCTATTTATGATAACTAGATAAATGGCCCGCGCTCTGCCGCGGTTACTATAATTTGAGTTATGTTATTTCAAGATAATTGGTTTGCGCTCTGCAACAAATTGTCATCAAAACGATTGTATCAATAAGTTAGCTTTCAATAAAATTATGTCGTAATTTGTGGTGAATGTCCTTATAAATAAAATGAACATTAATTGTAAGTTCATTCATCTTTGAGAAACTACAATAATTTTGGACTAAATAGTTGGATTAATTAGATAATTGGATTGAATGAATGAATGCCTCGTACCTAAGTTTAATTTTTTATGTCCCATACAAATAACTGAGAGAAGGTTAGAGTGAGTAGCTGGAAATTATGAGCATTTACAGGACACCAACACAATTGTGAAGAACGAATTTAAGTTTTAACCCCAAGGCAAAAGTAAAGGTCCGTTTAAAGTAAATTAAAAAAGAGAATGGTTTACCATGAGAAAAAGCTATCTTTCCTTTTCAAAGGGAAGAGAATATAATGTCAGATTTTTACGTACACCATAGCATCCTTCATCCTTGAGATCAAAAGATTTCTACAGAAATGATAATTATGATAAGGATGAATGACATAATGCACATTTGCTTTTACTTCCAGCATCCATCAGCTCCAAATTGTGCCTCATTTCATTCTAAGTTGTAAGAAGATCACACTTTTAAACTTGTACTCTTTATTTGAAGCATTTTTCCTGTGGAATATATGGGTGAGGGAGGTACATCGTAACCACCATCAGTTCAAGATCAAACACACAAATACATGAAATTAAGAACTGGTATGCTAAAGCCATGTTTCTCATTCATAATGATCTCTAAGACTTAATTAAGTATTCTAATTGGTACTGGTTAGGGACAGACCAGCAACTTCATTGATTGATTGGAGGCTTTTCCAAATTTTTAGTTCTGTGTAAATATAAAAAACTTAAGGCAGAAGAAGACTCCAAGATACATCAGTTAAAACAACATTGTGCCACTTGAAGAAATCTAAAGCAATTCAACTATAATGCAATAAAATCACTGAGAATCAAGGTAGTAAAGTTATTGTTAAGATTCAGAAAATGAAGTAGAACCGTAATATACCACGATCTCACTAAATGAAGTGGAGCTGACATGCATGTATGTCCACAGCATGTTGGAGCCCACAAAATGCTCTTAATTAAATTGAAGTCTTCCAATCCAAACCCATCTATGCGCCAAACATGGTAATTTATAGGATATCATAAGAACAAAACCATTTGTAATTTATACAGAGGTGGGTTAGCTAGCTGTCAGGTGGAAGGCACCAAATAATTGCTATCCAAGTGCTGTGTAGCTTTCAAGCCAAAGGAAGTATCACATTAATCTCCTTGTACAATTGAACATCAAAGAATTAGTGGATGCAACACCCATTAATTAGTGACATAGATATGTGAAACAGGAAAAGCAGTTGACACAACAGAAGTTAAGGTTTCAAAAGAGAGAGAAGTAAACCAAGTTATCTGTTACCTTCCATGGGAACTCACTTGTGGTTCCATAGTTGAATTCTATGTGGAAGTGCGTGCAATATCTCCTGTGTTAACAATTCCCCTTATAATCATCTCTCTAAGAGTATATATGTACCTTAACTTTATACAGAGATGGGACAAACTTTAGATGAAAATAGAGATATCAAAACAAACTTTTGATCCTCGTAAATCATGACAGACCAGGCCGATTGAGAAGACAGACGACATCGGATTAGGACATAGAAACTGACAAAAAGTAACATGTATCAGTATATAGAATTCAACACCTCAAGCTCACTCATCCTATCATTTAATAACTACGTGATTCCTGCATATGCCAAATTGTCAATCAGCAAAGTAATAGCAACACAGTTCCATGTGATTACCTCGTCAAGCATTATGGCAAGCCTGGGGTACTTTTGAAATGTTCATTCTCACCCCGACCGACTTCCCTGTCATTCTTGCATTAGGTAGTCTGTATTCTGTATGCAATTCAACATATTGCTACTTGATTAAGATTATCAAAGATTTTTATCCATGGCAAAAATAGCGATCCCTTGTCTTCTCAATCATCTTTGATCAAAGGGAGACTGATCACAATGAAGCTTTGCAAGAATCCACCAACACCGAATGTGAAGCCGCCAATCTGGATCTATCCACCGTATGCCGAGCCGAGATGAATGCATTACAGTGGAGGGAGTTTGGATGGCTATAGGAATGGAAGACGTACTCACCAGTTTCAGACGGGACGGCGTTGGCGGCCGAAGCTCCTCTAGACGGGACAGAGTCGGCGGCGGTAAATCAACCAAGTCCCTCCATCTTACCCAGCCACCAAGCAGTTCTACGACGGGAATCGAGAGAGAAGAAACGGGGGTGACAGAGGGGAAATTAAGGCGAAACACCAAAGGAAGAAACCAGCTTGGCCAACCTCCTGGTCCTGCTTGACAACTGCGTCGCATATTATTAGAAAGGGGTAACAACTTACCTAGCCGCCACTCGATCTTCACAGGAAGATCCGAAAAGAGATTAGTTATGCGAGAGAGAGATTGGGACACTCCACTGGACCCCTAATGCAAAACAGGCGCTATTTATTATCTAATAATAATTATTATGTGAACGATGCCAGTGAGAGCGGCAATGTCGGCCGACAGTCTTCAACCGGAGATAAAACCATCGGGAAGCGACAACTGAAGGGTCACTACCGTGATCTATTGGCAAGGGCACATGCGGATTCGTCTGGGATTAATCTCTTCTTCTCGCTCTTCTTTCTAATTCGGCGCGGTTCTGGAAGGAATTGGTTTATGGCGGGGCCGATTGATCTTTCTTAATTCTTCAGCTTGCCTTTGAACTCAGAGATCGGGGAGCATGTGGCGAAAAAGAAGATTGCCCATGCTTTTGATAACAAGACTGATGCCAAGAGGATGCTTCGCTATTGAGGGTTTGGGTCAAGCATCCGGCTTGGATGACTGGGGAGGCGAAGGAGGAAGGAGCAGCGACGGCGGTGTCGATGAATCGGTGGACGTCGATTTCCCATTTCCAGAAACTCCTCTCCGTCTTCGATTTAGGGTTTAGTTTTGGTGTTGGTGGGCGAGGAAGAAAGGGGAATGTCTGATCTATGTTACGGTGAGGGAGAAAGGTGGGAGGGGATAGATTAACAAAAGAGATAGCAAGAGAGCCACTATTTTTTCTGTTTTTAAGTCGGTCGGTTTAATTGTTGGGTTTGGTTAGGAGGGGTAGATCATTCAATGGTCTGCAGTGTTGGGTCCGGTTTTTATTTTGTTTAGGTTAAAATTGGGTGATCAATATTTTTGTTAGCCATATATAATAATGTTTGTCGTATAATAGAGATTAGTGAACAGTGAGCAAATTTTGAAATATTTAACTAATTTTAGTGGTTATGAATGAAATAAAAGAGCAAATCGTGAAACAAATTTGACAGTTTCCCAAATTTAATGAAAACAAGAACAAGAAAAACGGATACAGAGATGGCAAACAGAGTTGAACGTTTACTCTCCTTGGTTAAACGTTTCAGCCTGTTGGTGATCACAGAAAACAGAGTGAACGTTGAACCATGAGAAATAGTTTTTTACCCCATGTCAACCCAGAATATCAACTATTGCAGCATTCACTCAACATGGCAGATAGGAAGAGGAAGCTACAAACCAGTTCCTAAACCCAGCATTCACTCAACAATTGCAGCATTCACTCGACAATGGCAGATAGGAAGAGGAAGCTACAAACCAGTTCCTGAACCCAACATTCACTAAACAATTGCAGCATTCATTCAACAATGGCAGATTGGAAAAAGGAAGCTACAAACCAGTCCCTAAACCCAACCTTCACTCAACAATTGCAGCGTTCACTCAACAATCGCAGATAGGAAGAGGAAGCAACAAACAAGTTCCTCTAAACCCAGCATTCACTCAACACTGGCAGAATGTCAACAATTACAGCAAAATATTGAGATTGTACAAACAAGATACCTTCATTTCCTAACTGCTGCTGCTTCCAGCATAGTTACAGTTTCGTGTGCTGTAATCATCTTATTGAGCAGAGCACTGCCAAGCTTCAGGCCATGAAACTCCCAGTCAGCGCCAGGATTTTGCAACTTCTCCGATTCCACCAACTCTTTCCAAGCATGCTTAATACACTGGGGGGATCTTTCTGTGCTCATGTACGCTTTCACTTGCGACCAGTTTGGGTAACATATATCAATGCAGTTGATGAGGCTAGACAATTCCTCAACAGTCCAAGAAACAACTTCCGAGTCACTCGAAGCCAAAAGAACAGAACTCGTATCTGCAGCGGAAGCCTGGAGGGCCAGTTCACGCCCATCCAAAGTAGAAGAGCACCCAACTCCTCTCTCTTGATACTGAATAGGAGTCTCCGTATCTTCCTTAGATGACACCTCGTGTCGAGAATAGTACACTCCATCATCAGACATGGTATCTTCCTCGGAAGCCTGTAGGGGTGATTGCCGCCCATCCAAAGGAGCAGGATGAATCACAATACCTTGGAACAGTGGAGCACCAGATGCTTTCCCCAGAGGAGTCATCAGTCGTTTGGCTCTTTCAGCCTTAGTGGCCTCTCGAGACTGACCAGGAGGCTCTATATCCTTGGACGATTCCTCATTTCCAGACTTGTTCAATGAGCTATCATGAGATCCTATCTCCTCTTCAGAAGTAAAACTTATCACCCCTTGAGCAATCGCATTCATATAATCTTTGCCAGCTGCTATGATCACTTGCAAGGCATCATCCAAATCTTCCAATGCTTGAATGGTCTTGGACCCATTCCCATAGATGTAATACATGGCGACAGCCAATTTATCCCATTGTTCCTGATTTGGAAGCCTTACTGTTCTATTTCGCTTTTCCAAAGGTTTCATGGCTTCTTCTGCCAGTGACTGGAACTTCAACCTGATCGTGTGTTCGCTTCTGTCAGATTTCATCTGTCTTTTTATGGAAGGCCAATTCTTTAATCTTCCATGGCGAAGACAGACTCCGCATACAACCTTTAGGAGCGTCATTGTTTCTCTAGCGCCCCAACTATGATTATTTTTGCGTCCCTTATGCTGATCGACATTGAAGTTCTTCAAGGCCTTGCTGTTTCTATCAGGACCAGCATTCGCAGCATTAATGGGGAACAAATCAGATATACCTTTCTGCTTAGCAGGGCTTCCCCCACCAACTTTGCCAATCCGAGCCACCTTTTTTAGCAGTTTAACTATTTTTTTACCAATCCTCCTGATAGCCACCCCAACCTCTAGAGCATTCCCATCTAGCAAGTCGTTTGGAAGCCTTGCCCTCAATTTTTTATACCGGGCTCGCAACTGGTCAACAGACCTACCGTCCTAGAACACATGATAAAGGTAACTATTATCTACCAATCTATGAAAAGCATTAATCTAAAGCAAACCAATAACCAGCTTACCACGCTAGAATTTCGGTGCTTCACCTTATCAGCAGTGGAGCTGTTAGTTTTCGATACTTGATGACGTTTACGGGATCCCTCATTCTTCTGAGGCTTGGCCACATCCTTAGAACTGGCAGCAGAGAGTCCCAGTTCTCCCCCTTGAGTGCTTTTCCCCACTTGTCGGGAAGGGTCCTGGACCTAAAGAATCGCATCAACCATTTTTTTAGCTAATTCTGATAGAGTATTATTAATGGAGAACAACAATAAGAACAAGGTACAGTGAAACGAAAAAAACAACAGCAGCAGCATGAACTGCAGACGTCCAATCAGGTGCTTTGGGGGGTGCAACTGAAGATGGAAATAAAAACATCATCTACACCTTTCCATCGCTCATTGCGCCCAAGAATCAGCCAAAACACCAAACACCTTAGCTGAAACAAGAAAAAATCTCAAATCTGCAGCTTTAGACTGCAGCCCCTGCTTCTGATTGAAAATGGCCATCAAGCACCTGCCCTTCTGATTGTCTTTGCGTCCGTGATTACATGAAAACGTCTTACTTCAGCAACCCTCTTTGCGACAATGAATCATCCAAAACGCCTAAACTAAACCATGATATGATCACTACTCAGCAAGTTTCTACAGCAGCCTCTGCTTTAAACATGAAACTGGTTCTCCAGCCCTTATTTCCAAGGGTTCAAACTGTTCTTACTGACTTCAATTCTGCTTCTATCTCCTAAACAAAATCACCACAACTAGCCTTCATTAGGTCTGGGCCGGGTTCTATTCTTGACACTTGCCAACCAGTTTTCTGCATCTTTCCTATCCACCTAAAACAAGAACCCTAGAAACTGAACCAAGAGCAACGAAAGGCTACCTGAGAAATAGGATAGAAAATTCCTGCACGCAAGGCTGGAGCCGAAGACAACGGAGCGGACGACTTCCCCACTGCTCCAGGAGCCCAAGAATTCTCGCCCGGAGACTTCTGAACCTAAAGAATCGCATCAACCATTATGAAGATTTAATCCCTAGACTAAACCTAAAACAAGAACCCTAAGAACTGAACAACTGTAAGAAAAGCTACCTCAGAGCTGTTTGATTGGTAGCGGAGTTCACAGCCAAAGATTCTTATACTCGGGAGGATCTGGTCTATTTGATTAGTAGCGGAGTTCACAGCCAAAGAGAACGGAGCGGACGACTTCCCGCCAGGAGCCGAAGACTTCTCGCCCGGGGCAGACTTAGGAGCAGAAGAGTTACCGCCCGGAGCAGACATAGGAGCCGAAGAGTTACCGCCCGGAACAGACATCGGAGCCGCAGAGTTTAGCTCCAGAGATCGGAGCCGCAGAGTTTAGAGCCAGAGATCGGAGCTAACTCGGTAGAAGACGGAGGAGGAATGGCGAGTTTCTTCCTTCGTTTCAGTCGGAACGTTGGTTTGGATAGCTAGAGGGAAGGCGGGACGGGATTGTTATTAGGAAGAATGAGAGACCCGCGAAAAGAAAAAGGAATTTGCTAATTTCTTGTTCTTATACTCTGTTCAGGAAGGAGGGAAAGGGAAGGAAAGGGGAGGGAGCTGATAAGGAGTAATGGCATTGTTAGCCACATTCTCTTTCTGTTAAACGTGCATCATATATTTCTCATATTCTGTTATGTTTGTTCCTACTTTCTAGCTACACTACTTGTAACAGCAGCTATATAAGAACAGTCAATCAATAATACGAACTCAGGTTTTCAGCTTCCTATCATGGTATCAGAGCCCCTGCTTAACAGCTCATTGATCCAGCAACCCTAAAAGCTTCCATTTTTGTTTCCGCCGGCAGGATGAGTTCCCATTCTCCAGGCTTACAAGCCTTTACTCATCATCCACGCAAACAAATCCATCTTTCTGCTAGTTGTCCACATAATTCCCTCTTGCTTTAACTTCCATACATCCCTCTGATTACTCCTTCCTCTTTCTTCTCTCCCAATTCCCTTCACCTTCATCCCGAAAACCCAATCCCAACCCTAAACAATTCCATTGTTCTTCCTTATTTGTTTTAGATTGATAGGTTTCCTTTTCCTCCACAAAAGAGATAATAGATGGCCTAATCACTCGTCGTTCCTTACCCATCTACTGTTCACCTTGACTGCTTCTTGCCGCCGATCGCTATAGCTGTTCTCTTCATTTGAGCCAGCATCTTTGGAGGTTCAATCGCTACTTCGTTCCAAAGTCTTTCTCCTTCTTCTTCTTCCTCTGCCTTCACTTCTCCTTCTTCTTACTGTCGAAGTCATGTCCGAATCCCTCTCCCAATCCCTTCCTCGAGTGCAATTCCGATGGAGATTTCTTCCTCAACCATCTCCTCCACCTTCTTCTTCTCCGCTGGATTGGTTTCCCCCAACTGGTTTCTTCCAATCTCGCGTCTTTCTCACCTCCACACTCATATCAGTTGCCTTTTCTGTTCACAGCTCCGGAGAGAATCTTATTCCCATTTCGTCTCCGCTTCTCTACTTCTCCCTCCCAGTAGCACCACTGCCACCATCGGCACCGGCACACACTGAGTCATACTCGCTGTCCTCTCCCTTTCCGTCGCTCTCCTCTTCCTTCTTTCTTTTCTCAGAAACAAACTCAAACTCCTACGCGGCTTTCCTTCAGCTTGTCTCCAGCACAATCAATCAAATCTCTCCTCATCTCTGAATCTTTCTTCTCATCAAATCCCAGCCTTCCCCGCTTCAATTCAACCCCTGCCGACATATTTCTTCTCCTCCGCTTCTTCCTTCACTGGCTGATCCATAATTTTGATAAGCTATCTGCAGCAGCTGGATATTAACTTGGTACCTGCATAAGCAAGGGCGGGCCATCCCCAATCCTCGCTCCGCCGAGCCCCAAGCCGGCCGGAAGACCCGACACCAACCTCGGGCAGGCCTACGAGGACGTCAAGCTCCACTACACCATCAGGAAAGAACTGGGTTGGGGCCAATTCAGGGTTCCTTCCCTCTGCATCGAGAATTCCACCGGGAAGCAGTACGTCTGCCAGTCAATTTCCAAGAGGCAGCTGATCGCCAAGAAGCACCTTCAAGTTCATTACCCATCGGCTGCCGTTCCATCTTTTCAGTTCCAAGTTTCACCTCTTCGAGGCTTCACTTGCGGGGGCGTGATAAGGAGTGATGGCATTGTTAGCCACATTCTCTTTCTGTTAAACGTGCATCATATATTTCTCATATTCTGTTATGTTTGTTCCTACTTTCTAGCTACACTACTTGTAACAGCAGCTATATAAGAACAGTCAATCAATAATACGAACTCAGGTTTTCAGCTTCCTATCAGGAGCAAGGTTGTTAACTCGCGGGTTGACCCGCGGGTCGACCCACTTGGATGCTGACCCGATGAGAAAAATGGGTCGCACGCATCTGTCGGGTCTACCGCTACAAGGTACCGGGTTGAAGGTCGAATTGTGTCATTTTTTTCTTTGGTTTCCGAAATGCGCCTATTTTCTGATTTTTCTTTTCGCCTAACTCAATCTTTGGAATCCTAAGTTGAATATTTGAATATTGATGTTATATAAGTGTGTGTGAATTTTCACTTTATATTGGATCTAAGTACGATATGTTATTTTGGTGTAATATTTTATGTTAGAACTCATATGTATGATAAGATTTGATATAATTTATAAGGATAAGTACAATATAATGACTTTTTTCATATTTCCGGGCCAAACTGGGCTAAAACAATTGACCCATTAACCCTTGACCCACTAGCTCGACCGGGTCTGGGTCAACCCGCGGGTTGACAACCTTGGAAGGGAGGTTAGGGAAACACACATTCCATTGAGCTCTCCATTGTTTTTTAGCTAGCTACAGTTGGGAAGGAAAGAAAGTGAGAAGGAAAATTCACTATTTTCTCCACTCCTCCGATTTGGACGGAAAAGAAAATTGAAGAGTGTCTAATTTCTAATAACCCATCTTTTTAACTCATGGCCCACCAAGCTATCTTTCTCCGTATCCACTCCAACTTCCAACTCCATTTTCACTTTCTTTATTTTATTTCCTTCTTAATTTCTTTCTCTTTTAATTTGTTTCATTTTTACCTGATCAATTAATGATAGTAACTAGTAAGTAATACGAATAGGAGTAAGTGATGTTGTCATTAATTTTGGTCTTTATACTTTTCATATTATTTTGTTCTTTTAAACATAATTTCGCATTGTGTGGGATATCATATCGACGGCTTGACAGAAAAAACTATTATCAGAGTCTAAACGGAAAATAACAATTGTTCTACCATATTGCATCGGTCCAACCGACGTTTGGATCGGATGACACCAAATGGATGATTTACGTCACATGTTACTATTTTGGGTATGATATTCGATATTTCTGGTCCGGCCGGTAAGGTTGTGTTTTTTAAACATTGTATAATATGAACATACAATCAAATTATTTTACTATTACATAACCAATAAAATAACAGATTCATCACACTTCCCAATACACACTTTCCTTACCACTTTCTTCCATAAAACAATATTTTCCTCCCAATTTCCTTCACCTCCAAATCTCCCCTCCCCTCCCCTCCTAATTTTCCTTCACCTCCCCTCATTTTCTTCTCTTCCTTCGGAAACATAGTGATACACCTACCACTTTCTTCCATAAAGAATTGCACCTAAGTCTACCATCTACCAGTGAATAGGGCGATCCTTGGTTGTTGTTTGGGTTGCATGCAGCCAATTGGAACTACCCATTAACATGGCATCATATTATTCGTTCGAACTTACATTACCCAATTCGTGCTTCCACCATTGTTGCTCCCGCTCTAAAATGCGAAAACGCAATTTTGTCCTAGTTCACTATTAGTTCGCGAATTATATTTTCCAAGAGAGCGAATTATATTTCAAGGAGCGTGAATTGTCCATATCGGCAAGGAGAAGCCAAAAGCCGCAACGGTTGGGCTCGGCGGTGACCGCTCGGTTGACTAGAGAAACAGAGGGGGGCTTAAGCAGAGAGGCTTGGATAAAATCATTGGCTCCGCTGAAGCTTCTAGCTCTTGTGGATCGCCTGCTAATATGGAGCAATTTCTTCAGGGCGTGGTCGGTGTCAAAACCTGGAACACATCGATGATTTCATAATAAGCAGATGAGAGGAAGAAGGTGAAGTGGGTGCGCGACTGTTTGGAAGATGGAAGCTTGGGTTTTGGATTAGAAGTCGATGATTGAAATTGATCGCTATCAATTTGACGGCTGCATGTTGATATCGGGGTTAATTGCACATGATATCATATAAGTTTGGCTTTCGTTGCATACTAATCATGTAAATTCTTTTAGTTGCAACTAAATCACACAAATTGAGTTTCGCTTGAATCGTTATATTTTATGTTTATATACCTAACGACAGGTACCAAATTGCAATTCTCCATGACATGCAAGCACTCCAGCTCAACCAAATTGCTGAGTTAGATGGCATGTTAAATTCGCACGGGCCCACATGTTGAATTATTTCTTTTACGAAAAATGAAAGAGTGGCTTTGCTTATTTAAACAATTGATCTTTCTAAACAAAACCAGCAACTCCTTGCTTAAAAGGAAGAAGAAGAAGAAGAAACCAGCATAAAGGATTTACATTTTCCACCCAAGTCAGAGCAAAACAGAGGAACTATGTCCACTTATCAAAAATTACCCAACTGGAGGTAAAAGCTAAGGAGACCGAGGCCTTGGAAGCAGGTATTGCTAACTTATTAGATATTTTCCTTTATGACTCGTCTTCTTTTATAGGGTTTACCTGAGATATTAAGCTTGGAATAAGTTTCGATCTATGGCAATTTAGTTGTAGTAACAAGGCCAGTTAAAGCTGTCAGATATAGGAGAGCCTACTTCAAGTTCAAGGCAGGCTAGCTCATTACACGATTCCCTTCCTTTAAATAGAGCCTTGAAAGCAGGTATTGCTAACTTATTAGTTATGTTCATTCAATATTGAAAGCAGGTATTGCTAACTTATTAGTTATGTTCATTCAATATTTCAATACCCTGGAGAAAGTTTGGTTTAGGAGAGCTAAAAGTGGTTCCATGATTCATCAAAGTATAGATTAAAGCAAACTTCGACTCAACACCGTAGTTGATTCTAATAACGCACAACTAACTTATGCTCCAAAACTACCTATTTCAATGGTTAATGCAAGTGCGTGAATCGAACAATAAAAAAGAGTATTGAAGTAAAAAAAACAAAGCATCATTTGGTTTATCTAAAGACATAATAAGATGAAAAGGTAACCTAGCGGATCGAG